AAATAAATAAATAAATAAATAAATTTCCTTCTTAGACTGCTTTGTGTCCCATAAGTTCCAGTATGTTGTACTGTCATCATCACTTCATTGAAGAAACTATCTAATTTCTTCTTTATCTGTGATCCATTGGTTGTTCAGGAGGGTGTTACTTAATTTCCAAGTATTTATGAAGTTCTTGTGGTTTCTTTTGTGATTTATTTTCAATTTTATTGCTGTATGGTTAGGTAACAAGCATGGTATAATTCCAATTCCTTTGCATTTACTTAAGCATGTTCTATGAGCTAGTATGTAATCTGCTTTGGAGAACATCTTGTGTGCAGCTGAGAAGCATGTGTATTCTGATGTGGGACAGAACACTCTAGATATCTAAGACTATTTGTTCAAAAGTTTGGTTCAGTTTTAGTATTTCACTGTGGATTTTTTTGTCTAGTGGATCTGTCTTTTTGTGACTTTGGGGGTTTTAGTTCCCCCAATATAATTGTATTATTGCTTGACTTTTTCATATCCATTAATATTTTAGGTAAGTATACTGGCATTTGGTGCATATATACTTCTAATGATTAGCTCTTCCTGTTGGGTTATTCCCTTTATCAAGATGTAGTGACTTCCTTTATGTTTCTTAATTAATCTTGGCTTTAAATCCACTTTTTTGCAAACAGAATAGCTACCCCTGCTTTTTTATTGTTTCCTGTCACATAATTATTCTCCATCCTTTGACTTTCAGTCTATGAATTTCTTTTTGAATTAAATGTTTCTTGTATGCAACATATTGTTGCATATTATTTCCCTGTTGTTGTTGACTCCTCTCCTTGTTTTTCTTTTTCCTTCTTTCCCCTCTCTGTTTAATTGTTTGCCTTGCCTGGTTGATTCCTTCCATTGGGGTTCATGGAATTGTAGTCCTTGTCATCTCTCTCTCTCTCTTTTTTTTTTTGTGGAACCGGGGATCGAACTCAGACCCTTATGCTTGCCAGGGAAGTGCTTATTGTACTGAGCCATCACCCCGGCCCCATCATCTCTTTCTAGAATGTCCTTCAAAACTTTTTGGAGTGCTGGTTTGGTGATCATAAATTTCCAAAGCTGTTCTTTGTCATGGAAGTATCTTACTTCTCCATCAATTTTGAAAGATAGTTTTTTGGAGTACATTAATCTGGATTGGGGGTTGTTTTCCTTTAGTGCTTGAAATACTTAATTTCAAGTCCTCCTTGACTGGAGGGTTTGTGCTGAAAAATCAACTGTGATTCTGATAGACTTTACTTTATAGGTGATTTGTTTCTTTTCCTTAACAGCTTTTAATATTCTACTCTTGTATTGAATTTCTGGAATTCTGACTATGATAAGCCTGGCTGTAGATTTTTTTACCATGACTAATTGGATTTCTATATGTCAAATTGCTTTCCCTATCAGGGAAGTCTTCTGCCATTATGTTAGTGAACAGTTTTTTTGGTTTTGTTTTTTTTAATGTCATTTGTGCTATCTCTTGCTTTTTCATTTACTCCAATCAATCTGATGTTATTCTTTGCATCATCTAGCAGCTTCTGGGTTAATTTCTTATGGTCGCTTACCATTTTAAGAAATATTTCTTTTCATGATCACTAACTGTGAGCCTGTCTTCTATATCGGCAATTCTGTCTTCCATTGGCTCATTCTTCTGTGGATACTTTCAATGGAATTTTTAATCTCCTAGATAGCTTTTTGAATCTATTTTATGGATTACATTTCTTTCCTACATTGGTTTACTTCCTTTTTTTTTTTTTTTGGCAGAACAGGGGATTGAACTCAGGCCCTTGCACTTGCCAGGCAAGCGCTTATTTTACTGAGCCACCTCCCCAGGCCCCTCTTTCCTACATTGAACCTTCATTATTTCTATCATTCTCTCTGTATCTGCTCTAGAGTCACTATGCGTGGTTTTCATTGTAGACACCATCTGTGTAGTTATCTGAGAAATCATTTGTGTTTTAATTTTTTTCTAAAGCCTCATTTGATTACTTTGTTGTTATTACTTTAGAGAGGCAAGGTAAGTGGCTTTTGGATTGTTCCACCTCACTGTCCCCTGGATTGGCCTTGGGTAAAGTGAATGTCTAGTGCTGTACCTTGTTTAAGTGTCATCTTATTTTTTTTCTTTTCTTAGTTTAATTCCTGTATTGATGCTTGTAATCTGTATACGGCAAATTGTTTATGATTAGTATTTAAAATTCTTAGGAAATGAACACTTTTCCCAGGTGTCTTCCAGGCATAGCTGGCTTTTCGGTCTTGAGTCTTTTAAGAGCCTAACTCTTTGGTTTGTTGGGAATGAGAAGCTGCTGCCTGCTTGGTGCAGCGCTTGGTTCTTTGGCACTGTGCCACAGCACCTTCCCTGACCCTTAGTCATTCTCAGTCTTGGAACACTAAGAAGAATAGCTGGGTAAAATAATTAGGCCACCTCTGGCTAAAGTAGCACCACTGGCAACAATAGCATCAAACACAGCCTAGAAATCGACAAACTGAGGAAACCACCACTTTGCTAGCTTGTGTGAACCAGACTTGCAGTTATACAACAAAATCTGTAATAAACCAGAAAATTATATATAATATGTAAGTCCTCAATATGTCCACTTTACCCTCAAGAGTTAAAATTCAAAAAGAATAGGAGAAGAATAGAAAAGTAGAAAAGGAAGAGATTAAAAGACTAGAGGACTAAGGGTATCATGCTAACTTTGGGAATCTGGTGAAGAAAGAAAAAGGGAAGAGAGAAAAAATAAATAAAAGGAAGAACAGGATAGAACAACCACAAAGAAGCTAGAAACCAGATTCACACGCATATAAAAATAAAATCAGGGGCCAGGGAGATGGCTCAGTGGAATAAGCACTTCCCTGGCAAGCACAAGGACCTGAATTCAATCCCTGGTTCCACAAATAAATTAATTAATTAAATAAAATAAAACAATGAAAGCGGAAAAAAAAGTTCTCTTCCAGGTTTGTCTCTACTGTCACATTTAGAAATCATGTGGAGACAAAGTCCAGATCTGTGTGGATTTATCCCAGGAAATCAGCAGTAGCTTTATAGTGGGGTACTGGCACATGACTATTTCCCCTGAATTCAGGCTATATTCTGTCCATGGGGACCAAGGTCAGACCTATTCAGCCGGGAGCAGTCAGTGCTCCCTCTGAGGGCTCGAACTCAGCTGGAAGCTGCTAGATGAGCAGCTGTTCTGAGTTCTGAGCTCAGCTGACTCCTCTCCAAGATGCTCCTAGCCTGCTGTTCTCTCCCACAGGACAGCTGAGCCCTCCGTCCTCACCCCCACCCAGTGCACGTCTCCATGTCTTTTGCTCTGCCTCCACCACTGAATCTCTCTGTGGATGCCTCTGGCACCACCAGCCATCACATATGTCCACAAGCCTGAGCTGCTCCAGTGAATCTTAACTGAGTCCTCGGGCTCCTCAGGCTACCTCCTTCTTCACTGGGGTTTCTCCCTTCACTCCCCCTGTGGGCTTCATTTCTTGCTTCAGATCCTTCCTGGATCCAGGGGACCCACTTCCTTCCTTCTTTTCTTCCTCAAAATGCTATATTCCAGCGTCTGAATGGCAACTCTCAGGGAGGCTCTTTCTCTGCTACTTACTACTATGCCATCTTCCTGGAAGTCCTCCATAGCACTTAAGACTTGTTCTCCCCTAATAGACTATAAGCTGTTTGCAGAATGAGGTCTTCCTTATTCAAGGAGCAGCAGCACTAACATAGTACCAAAACATGGGCCTCTAAACCAGCATTAATGACTGAATGAAATGGTTTATTCTCTCATATGGCCCCACTCACCTGAGCATAGTTGCTGGGTAGGAAGCTCATGGCAGTGGCCAGGCTGCCCTGGGAAGCCAGGAAGTTGGCATACTGGATGAGCCTGTAGGTTGTGGTAGGACATGGGCTCACCCTGCCAGAAGCCCTCTTCTTCAGGACCATTGCCTTCTCTATCAGGTCCTACAGAGATGACAAGATGAGGTTAGCCAGACCCTTAAAGCACATCTTGGTCCTAGGACCAGGAAATTCACCCAGGAATACCCTACTATCAGCAGAGAGGAGGGCATGTGGCAAAGGCAACAGGTGCCAATATGTGAGCAAGCGGGCTCACCTCCTCAATGGCTAACACTGAACTCAAGTGGACCCACTGTATCTTAGATTCTTAAATATGTCTGCCTCCTCTTTTTGTTTCCTCTACCTTTTCTGCTGGTACACTGGCAGTCACAGACTCTCTTACAGTGTTTCATGTGTGGTGTTTGTTTTCTCATGAGTTTATGACCTCTACCTTCTGTGGTCACCCACAGAATACCTTTTACAGCTTAGATCCACAGAACTTTTCTCAGAAGCTCACAACTATTCAAATATTAAATAAATTTATATAACTAAACTTGAAGTAGGGAATACTGACAGCACCCAAGTACCTGTTCCATCTCTGCTTAGGGAAGGAGGTAATATTTAACCCGGGATAAGATCCAAACATTGAGGGCCTTCTGCTCCTGCCTGACACCAGCGCTCCATCCTGTGTCCAGAAGACTCACTCTGGTATCCGCATTGCCCACATCACTAACCTCTCCCAAGAGGTTTATATGGAAGGGCCAGACCTGTCAGATACCTGCAGAGCCACAGGGGATGAGGTCTGGTGACATCTTGCCCAGCCCTTTACCAGCTGTTCCACGTTCCCTGAGTATACATAACAGAGTCTGGCTTCATCAGTTAGTGCCCTGCTGTCCTCCTGTTCCATGTGAGTTCCCAGCATGTCTGTAGAAAGATGCAGACTTCATTAGTGGCACAGCTCTCCAAAGCTGCTCTTCCTTTATTTGTTTAGAAACAAGTGGGTGGGGGCCGGAGAGATGGCTCAGTGGAATAAGCACTTCCCTGGCAAGCTCTAGGGCCTGAGTTCAATCCCTGGTTCTGAAAAAAAAAAAAAAAAAAAAAAAGAAAGAAAGAAAGAAAAGAAAAGAAACAAGTGGGAGACCGTGAACTATGGACAAGTAGTAACAGTGGCTTTGAAACACAGAGGTTAAACTTGTACCAAGATGTGATACAGAAAAGTAAACAGAACAATAATGACCCCTAATGAGGGTAGAAGCACACTTAGAAGTCTGAGCTGATCCTGACCCTGACAGCATGGCTTGGCCTCCTAGAGCTCAGGCTGCCTCCACCTGAGTGTCCAAAGCTCCAAGCTGGTGCCATATCACTCCACTGCAAGGCCTAGGCCACACCTACCACAGAGCTCAGGAAATTTCTCTGGCTCTGAGTATGTCAGAAGCAAGGCCAGGGCCTCTCTCCAGTTCTTCAGGCTGCAGGTGCTCACCAGTTCCTTCCAATTCTTCTGTATAACACAGGCAAGAAGCTGTAATGGGCCAAAAGGGAAGAAGGATCTCAGCTGTCTATTTAGCAATGTAGCAAGTCACTCACAGGCTGCACAGCAGATGGTAATTTGTAATAGTAGTTTCATGCTTGGAGAGCCTGTCATTGTGGTCTTCTGAATATGGGCTGCTTGTCATGACATGCCAGTTGCTGCTATGATGTCTCTCGGGTAGGTGGACGTTCAAGAAGAAGGGGGTGATGAATGAAAGCAAGAGACAGGAAAAGGAATATTGTGGGACTGTCCTGCTTTAAGGTTGTATATGGTGAGATGTTTGGACTTATGTGCAAACATGAGAAGTATATAATTCTGTATCCTATTTTTAAAATATAATCTAATTTTGAAATGTTTTTTATCATATTATGAGGGACTTAAAGTTCAACATATCAATACTTGATGAAAAATACCTGTTCCATATTATTCCTAAGATGTTTGATATGCAGACAGATAGTGAGGTTAAGCTTAACAGCCTAAGTTGTTTGATAATAACAATAAGCTTGGGCTGGTGAGATGGCACAGTGGTCTAAAGCACCTACTTAGAACAAGCTAAGCTAAGCAAAAGCTCAGCGACCACGGTTCAATCCCCAGCACCACATACCAGCCAGCCCCGCCCCCTGGTGGGCTGAGCTGGCCACACACACACACACACACTCACACACACCACACACACAAAATAAATAAATAAATTTAAAAAAAATAATAATAAAAAAATAACAATAAGCTTTTCTTCTGGATGGATAACAACCTAAGTTTGCAGACCAAAATTAGAGAAAAAGGAGGGCCGCAAGGAAAGCCAACATTTTGGCCCTAACCTTTCCTAAGATGTTTGATATGCAGACAGATAGTGAGGTTAAGCTTAACAGCCTAAGTTGTTTGATAAAAAGGTCAATTAAGACTCAGGACAGATGAGAACTTGTACTGTAATATCATGTAACTCGGCAGTGTCCCAAATTTTCTGATCAAGGAGATTATGGGGCCAAAAAGGAAAGTGAGCGATGATGTAGAGTGTGCCTAAGGAGAGTCACATGGAGAGAAAACACTCTCTCAGGCTTTCACAGAGAGCACATTGGCCAAGCAATGGCTGTGACTCATCCACATGGCTGACACTGACAAAAGTTCTACAATCTGAGGTACAGGATCTCAGGATAAATCCTGAGGGGATTTCACTGACCTCTCAGACTCAAAAGCTACAACTCTTGTTGCATAGGTCTTGCTTTACCTTGGTCTTAACCATCCAGCAGAAAAGTATAAAAATGAAATATAGGAAGTAAAGCCATGCTGTTATGTTGAGCTGTGGGGGACTCAGGTCAACAATTTTTGACATTGCCAGTTAAACAGAAGACCCAATGCTATTATGGGCTATTGGACTCTTTTAGAATATTTTGCTGAGTTTACACACCTATAATATTCAAATAACGGAACTTAAAAAAAAAGGGGATACAGATGAATGTGCATTTTGTATCTGTGTATTCAAAGTGGTTAGGATATATAGTTACATTCTCTTAATGAATAGAATGATTTGTTCTAATGGTGTTTGTAAATAGGATCTCAAGTCCACATCTTGTACAGCAATTAGCCACTAAGAAGAATGTATGCAGTGTGTTAATTATTGAAACTGTCCTAGTGATTTGATTTGAAACTGTCTCATTGCTATTTGTTTATCAATAAAATTATGGAAAAAAAAAAGAGTCACTCACAGGGACGTTGCTCATAAACAGTTCTCTTGTTAGACCACTGAGTAGGGCCAGCAGGAAGGGGGAGGTTGTTAGAGTAGAAAAAGGGAGACAGCAGATTAATATCAGCTCCAAGGGTAAGGCTGCACCTACCAAGATCCAAGTAATCCCCTCCCCATCAAGATGGGCCATTACCAAGGAGATTTTGGTTCTCCTCTTGGCAAAGTAGCATTCCTGTGCGCTTCAGCAGATCTGTGCCCCGAGCTTGTGCCAGGATGACAGCATCAGCGAAGTGCTCTTCCTTCAGACATAGCTCCACAGCAGGGCCTAGCTCCCCCAGCAGCAGGGCCTGGCTCAGGATTCCATCTATGTCTGTGGGAAGAGGCAGCTCCTCTGCATTAGCCTGCCCGCAGACCCTTGCTTCCTGTCCCTGCAGCCCCTGCTGTCTACATGACTCATTCTGCTTTGCTCCAAACTAAACCCTCAAGTTTCATTCCTTAGCAATAAAATGCAGAGGTTGTCGCAGGGGTAATCAGTCCAGCAGAAACTCTCTAAAGGCAGGACTCAAGACAAGGAAGCCAACTCATGGTGAAATCACAGGTTGATATGTGCTTGCTCAGCACAGGCCAGGTCACACGGAGACACAGGATAGGAAAAAAGATCTGGTAGAAAGCCTTCCATAGGAAGGACCCACTGAGAAATCTCTACAGTGAGAGAGAGTTTTAACTGGTGTAAGCCCACCAGTATTTGAGATGGTGGAAGGCAGGCAGGAGATGAAATGAGACTGGCTCAAGTCTCACAATTCTGGGGCCACCTCTCCCAGGCCGTTTCTCTCATGCAGGGCCAACAAACCTCCGTGATGGGGATCTCCCACAGAGTCATGTTCTGAGGGACAAGTTCATCGAAGAAGGCTGAGGATGCAGAGGCTTCCTCTGTGGGGTGTTTGGAGGTCTGCAGATGAATGACAGATGTGACTATGTGGTAAATGACCAAGAATAGAGAAAGACAGCCAGTATCTGCCCACTACCACCTCAGCTCTACTACCCAGCTATTAATGATTAAAACTAAACAAATAACCAGGACATATTTGAGAAAGGCCGCAGTTCATGGTGCAGACACAGCCTCTCTTCAGACAAACTTTACTATCTCTGAAGCATAGACCCCATGTCCCCCTCGAGCTCCCAGGACAGCTGTGTCTTCTGAGCTCTTCTCTAAGACCCCACAGTCCTCTCAGGTCCTGACCAGTCATTTCTCTTAGTAGGTGTAAAACTTCTCCCAGTGTCACAGCAGCCCAAAAGCTTACAGACTCTGTCTTACTCTAGCTGCACGAGAGTGAAGGGTTTGAAGCCTGCTATAGAAGCTGAGCACTTACTGACAGGTAAGCCAAGAGCATCAAGACAGGCGTCATGCACTACCCTGGGCCAGGCTGTCTGTGCTCTCACCATACCTGGCTACCAAAGGTCAGTTACCTATTATGGTTGAGGGAATCTCCCTGGGGCTGAGGGCTCTCCACAGGCCCCAAGTTACTCTTCAACTGGCTGGTCACCTGCAGGAAGAGACCTACGAGTACCACCCTCCCAGCAAAAGCTCAAATAAGCGTATGCTCTCTTCCCATCTCCACACTCCCCCCAACTACTGTCCTAGAAAAACGCCTAACTCCAGGAGCTAAAATGCTTATATGTGTATTAATTAGGCCCAGGAAGAGATGTTCTGAGATGGTTTCCAGAGGGTTCTCTTATTCTGTACAGCAGAATAAGACATGAAATGTCTTATTCATGTGTCAGACATGAAAAGCAGCTTACCTTCTTCTGAAGCTCACCTTTATCATACCCTAATAGCTTCAAGAGTTTTATTCTGGAATCTTGCTCTAAAGTCACCTAAGGAACCAAAGAACACAGAAAAGTCTCCATTAAGTGACTGTATATGACCCTCTCCTGCACCAAGCTGGACTTCTGTACCACTACACTCTCACGTATAGACCTGGGGGCTATAAAAAGTGTCCTCTGGGCAATTTAGAAAGATCCTGCCTCAAAATAAAACATTAAAAAGGGGCTGGAGATGTAGCTCAGTGCAAAAGCCCTAGGTTCAATCCACAATACTAAAAAACAAAACAAAACACCAGTGCAATCAGAGGGCAGTGCCACTTCTTCATTTTGACTTATTGGTGGGCAACGGGCAGTCTTAATATAATATCCTTGGTCCCTTATACACGAAAACTAGAACTTTGGCTGACTATCCTGCTATTAGCTCAGCCTGGTAAGAGTAAAATGTCAGCTATTCCAGAGCAACACTGCTTGTGATTAGTCAGTTGCATCTGGCCTAGAACTACGTAAACTACAAAACCCTGAAGTGGACGTCATGCTCAGAGTTTCACTGGTTGCAGTGATTCAGTACTTGACATGTGTCCTCTGCAGGGACGCAGCAGCTATGCTGATGGAGCTAGTACAGGGATACTGGCTCTGGCAGGCGACCAGCCATGGCTTCGACTTTAGTCTTTTACAGTTTCCCTGGTCTCCCCACCCCCCCAAGGCTCTTCCCTGGGAAATACCCCTCCATGCACAACCTTGGGAACTGATACTGGACAGCTCCCGGATGGCTCTCTGCTCAGGCTCCCCTCTGTTCTAGAGACATGGCCACCTCCACTGTCATCCTGACACTCCTCCTACCCTCTTTTCCACCCTGCCATTCCTGGGATCTGTAGCTCCCTCATGCCAGAAGCATCATTTCTTACTCTTCTTCCTATATCTTGCTCAAATCATTTTCTCTCTCCCAGAGAGAAAAACATGCCTAAAGCTTTACTATTTCTGAAGGACAGACCAAGTTCCTCTCAGACCCTGAGACAAGTCCTGTTTGTTTTGCTTTCTTCTGCTGGACTGTCCTCCCACCCCCTGAGCAGTCAGCTGCTTCCCTGTCTCCCTGCAGAGATCTCCTTTGCTCATTTTCTCTGGTGCACATAGCATCCTCGATGTCACAAGCAGCTCAGAACCAAGACTCTGCCTCCAGAGTGGGCGACCCTGCACACTGAGTCCACACACAACTCGCCTTGGGTTACCTGAAACAAACTCAAAGCCTTCTTATGATGTTGTACCTTTGTAGCTAACCTTTTTTTTCTTTTTTTCTTTCCTTCCTGTCTTCTTCCCTTCCATCACCTTATCTGCCCTTTGATACTGTGAAAGACACTGTGAAAGCCTTCACCTTGGCTCTGGTAAGGAACCCTGGTCGTCAGCCACAGCAGCAAGAAGGAAAGCAGCTCTTGTTCTCATGCTCAAAAGAGGCCTCTGGGCCTCTTGCCAAGGGTGAAGACTATCCAGAAGACACACGAAAGACCAGTGGAGGTTACAGCCTCTACAATCAGGGTCACAGTCTGACTGTGCATCTCCTAAAGTTGACAAGTAGGAGTTCTGGCCTTCAGGAAAGCACTGGTAAGCAGTCAGCCTGAAAGCTTCCTACCTTCACAAACTGCCACAGCATCTTTTCACTCGCCAGGGAAGCCCGCTGGCCCTGGCTCTGACAATAACTCAGGAGACCTCCTGATGCCAGGCTCCCCGCAGCCCAGCTGATCACGCCAGGCATCCGGGTTCTGTGGTCTCTTGGCTGACGAAGACAATCTGGGGGCGAAACGGTGCTGCTTGCTGAGCAGGGGCACCGGCAAGCCCAAAGGTAGCCAGCTTCCCCCCAAGCTGCCAGAAAAGGTAAGAAGAATAAAGGGTAAAAGTTACAGTTTCAGGCCAAAAGCTAACACGAAGTCAGGATCATAAAAAAGCTACCTACAGGAAATCAACGAAAAGAGAGCTCAGGAGTGGAATAGGCTCAGAGACTGAGTGGAGAATGTGCCCATACCAAGCCCACTTCTGCAGCCCTGGCACCAGCACCTGCTAGCATCACCACATAGCACCGTCTCTTTCTCTCCTGGGCCAGTACCTCCCTTCTCCTCAGCACTCAGTCCAAACACCCCCGCATCATCACAATCTGTATCACTCCAACCAAGCAAAACGTTGTTCAGAGTTCAGTGCTGGCTCGATGTTTCTTCTGTCTCCAAGGCCCCTCCCATTCCATTCCCACTGCTAGCACGCCTACATTACTAGGAGAGTTACCAGCCTTCATTGTCCTGTTTTGTTGTTCCCTTTCCCTACCAACCCAAGTCTTAGATCCCACCTGTTGTTGTGCCACCCAGTCAGTACCCAGGATGTCTGAATGGACTCACAACTTCAGGAAAGCATTTACACTTCCCTGCCTACCCCCCAAGTCAGCCAGATCTGTCTTTCTCTGCACTCCTTTCTCCCTGTTCTTGTATGCCATTGTTTCACACCCCTAAATGCCCAGTCATTCCTGCCTCTGTGCCTTGACCCATGCCCACACCCCCAGCCTGAAGCGCCCTTCTGATACTTTATGAAAGCATCTGGCACAAGGAAAAGCCTGGACCAGGCCTTTCCTCTAGCAGGAGTCAGCCACAGGCACACATCACCTCCAGAGAGACTGCCAGGCCACCAGGCTCACCCCAGACAACAAGAACATAAAGTCTAGGAGGGTAAGGAAATGAGCATCAGGATTTTTTTAAATCTTAAGGCTATTTCAATATGTAGCCCAGGCTGACAACTACTGCTGTGTTATTTCCTTTGCTAAGACTCAACTCTCCTTAATGAAATTCAGTCAGAATTACTTTCTCTCTGGTCTCTAACAGCACAAAATCCACCATTGTCTTAGTGTTTCATAACACCACCCCAACTTCTGATATGCAAGGACAGTTTTACAAAGTGCCCACATCTCTTCTTCTCTGAGGCTCATGACAATTCACTAACAGTAGCCAGGCAGGTAATACTATCTCCATTTTATAGGTAATATCTTAGTTACTTTTCTCTTATTGCTGGGACAAAATATCCCCAACATCCAAAATTAGGAAAGGAAAGGTTTATTTAGCTCACAGTTTGAGACCTTTCAGTCCATATTTAGCCAGCTCCAAGGCAGTTCATGGCAGCAGAACACAGCAAAAGCAAGCCTCTTTTCTCCCCTTATATTGTATGCAGGCTACCTGCCCTATTGGTGGTCCTTTACACCCACACCATCTCTGGTGCTCCTTTTGTACAGGCTGAGGATGTTTACAAAGTTCGGGCCCTGGCTCCTTACTGAGTCACTTAATTAAATTTCTTAACTTCTCAAATTGACACAATGAATCAACCATTACAGCATCCTGAAGTATAAACAGCCTCCCTAGGGCATGCTCTCTACACTATAGGATGCAAACCAGCTGAGTTACTTAGTGAAACTTCAAAATTTCTCAAAGTATCACACAATGTATCAACCATTATAGACAAGAACACCAAGTCCTGAGGGGTTAACGTCTTGCTCAAGGATAGTTTGTTCATAAATGACAGATACCAACTTCTATGATAAGAATTTGGTTTCCTGACCTTGGGGGTTTTTACCACACTACACTCCTCTTTTTTTCTTTTCTCTTTTTTTTTTGGCAGAACCAGAGATTGAACTCAGACCCTTGTGCTTGCCAGGGAAGCACTTATTCCACTGAGCCATCTCCCCGGCCCCTCCTCTTTTTTTCTTAACCTCACTATCTCTTGTGTGCATTAGTCTTACCTTCCTAATGAAAACTGTGGGCTCTAAAGACAAGGATCTCTACTTTTATGTACCTGTTTTAAATTCAAATCTAATATTTAAAGCACTGTATTACAGCAGTAATGATGAACCTTTTAGAGCCTCCAATGATAGCAACTAGCAGGCTGTGGCATGCATGCCACAGGTTCACCACCACTGTATTAAAGGCATCGGGCCTCAGACCAACAGCAAAGGTATTACCTGAGAACTTGTTTGAAATCAGAATCCTGAGCCCAACCCCAGGCCAAATGAACTAGAATCTGAATTTACATACAATCCTCATGTGATTTGTATGTACATTAAAGTCTGAGAGGCACTATTTTAAGGATATAAAAATGAACAAAATATGGCACCTATCCTTATGGGGTTTATTACACAGTGGGGTCCAGATATGTGTATAAATATAATAAGTACAGAACATACTATTGCAGGGATATAAATCTGTGGATTACAGAGGAAGATTAATTTTGCAGGACTAAAGTCAGGGATCATGGAAGAGATGGTATACATGCAGGAGGCCCTGAAAGCCACAGTAGCAAGCCAAGAAGGAAAGGTACAAGCAGAAGCAAGACAGTGGAGTTGTTAGGGGAGTGAAAGGAGCCATGTGCAACTGGAGCATAGGGAACACAGGAGAGTAAGATGGAATCAGAACCAGAAAGGCAACCAGAGCCCTGTGTGCACTCGGCCTTGAGTCTAAAAAGCAATGGGAGGGGGCCTGGCCCTAGCTCAGTCCTTTAAGTGGCTGCTTCCACAACACTGTCAGCCTCAGGTTGCTGGAGTTCGAACCTCACAACTCTCCCGCTGGCCAAAAGTGCCCTGAAGGCATCCGAGGACCAAAAAAAAAAAAAAACCCTTATTCCATTAAAAAAAAATAAAAAATAAAAAGCAATGGGAGACCCAAGTTGTTCTTTGAGCAGGAGAATACCAGAATAAAAAAAATCTACTCCCCCCCCCCCCCCCCCGCTTTCCTTCTTTGTACTCCATGCCACCAGTTCAGTCAAGTAAAGGCTAGAAGAATCTCAAGAATCTTAGGCCATCATCCACAATGCAGAGGTCCAACCCAGTCTTTAAAAATAGGCCTGGCATAGCAGTTAGGGTGAAGAATGCATAAGAGGGTAGAGACAGTGGCTAGGGCAACTGCTTGAGAGAGTAGGACCTGATCTGAGACAAAGGCAGTAGAACGGAACCCAGCTTCTTGCTAGGCAGCTTCACATACACAATCCCACCACATCTGTGATTCTTACACAAAAGAAACTCCTGATGGCCTTTGTATCCATCTGGGGGGCTTTCTCATGGGAGGGACCTGTGATGCTTGGGCCATTTGCTCTGACACCTGCAGTGGTGACAGAGGGTGGCCTTTACTGAAAGAGGAGGAAATCTGAGGAGAAAGGATAGCTGCATCACCATCCTGATGTGGCAGCTTTGCCAGCAACTCCACCTACAAACTCCATTTTGGGAGGAATCTTCAAGAGTTAGAAAGGTCAGACTCCCACACCAGATATGAAAACTGATAGTGAGGGTGGGACTCCCCTACAGTAATCTTAGAAAGCCTACTCCACTCAAAGTCCACAAGGACCACAGGAGAGAAGGAAAGAAAAGAGTCCATGCTCCTGTGACAAAGCATAGGCATACAGGTCCAATATCCCTGAAATACCTCAGGAAATATCCAGTACAAAAGCCAAAGGGAAGGTCTCCTTCACAGCATGTCAAAAACTGACATCTCCCAGGTATATGGGCCCTGGAGCAAGGTACAGACCTCCAAGCCCAGGGCTCTGGTCTCCCCTGACCCCCTACACTTCTTCCCAGGGCATGTGCCTTCTCTCCCTAGCCCTTTCCCTTCAGGTTCTCACACTGAGCCCTTCGAACCTGTCTCATGTGCTGGCCCTCCCAGCTCCAACCCATCATGGAGTACAAACTGATCCAGGTATCAGAGAGGCAGTGGAGAACACTGAAGAGTCCCAAGGGCACCACTGGACATCGAAACACCAGCTGTTCTGTGTGGACAGCTTATATACCACCTGATAAAACAGAGCCATTAGAGACTAGAGTCCAGCAGACCCTTCCTTGGGCAGAGCAACCCAAACACACAGCTGGGGACCCCCTGCCATCCCATTTCCATGTCACTGGAACTACAGAAGTCACCCTACCTCATAGCTCCCCAGGTTCCAGCACAAGATCTGGTTGTCTTTGGAACTGCTGAGTAACAGTTCAGTGTCAACCTGGTTCCATGACATTGACAAGACCCCCCTAAGAAGAAACAAAGAGCAATTAATATTTGTTAAATGTGCACTTTAGTGAAGTGCCTTATGTATCTCCAATAAATCTCAGTGCCTATTGAGCGATCTGATTTCATTATAAATGAAAGAAAAATAAGACTTCGAAAATTAAGTAATTTTCAATAACTCCACAGCTGGAACCCAAGTCAAACTCCAGGGCATTGCAGACTCTGCCTCCATAGATCACTGCTGGATGATAGAGCATGTTCATGAATTTGTAGAGCATGTTCATGAATTTGTAGGAAACACACAAACACCCATCCCAGGGGTGCTTTTAGTGAAGACTCAACCGTCAAAAGTCCCCAAGGAGGGGCCAGGGAGATGGCTCAGTGGAATAAGCGCTTCCTTGGCAAGTGCAAGGGCCTGAGTTCAATCCCTGGTTCCGCAAAAAAAAAAAAAAAAAAAAGTCCCCAAGAAGATATAAAGGCAACATGGCCCTTTTATCAAAAGAACAGCTCAAGAGTTACAGCTTCAGAGGCAGAACTTATCACGGTACCACAGGAACCAAGCTGCTCTGCAGAAGAAATCTTGGAGGAAGTTCCTCACAATTCTGACAAATGAGTATTTCCTCAGATCAGGGCCCAGGGACCCTCCCAGAGGGGTGTTTACTCTGGGTCTCAAGGATCCTCCAGTGTTACAGACTTAGTCCTCAGACGGGTACCGTTGGGAGGCAGTGAAACCTTAAGAGCTACGCCTACTGGGAAGACTCTATGTGTTGAACGTGCCTGGAGAGGGCTATGGAACCCCAGTTCATCCTCATTCTCCCTCATTCCCTAGACATGAGATGAGTGACTGGCTTTGCCATAAGCCCCAGCCATGGTGTGCTGCATCAGTGCAGGCCTAAAAGCCAGGGGTTAATCAGTCATTCAAAACTGTCAACTCAAGCAAACCTGCCCTCTTTTAAATTACTGTTTCAGATATTTTGTTATAGTGATGAAAAACTGCCTAACACAGGAATGAAATATGGCCTCAAGTACTTCTCACAACCCTATCCTCACTCCCTGACAGTAGGTGGAATCACAGGTTCTTCTCCATAACTCAGGTCTCATGAACTCTTCTTGGTTAGAGCTGGAGCTAGCACTGTCCATGTGTCCACTGCAGTGACCTGGAAGCCAGGATGCTTGGTAGCTAAAGTGAGACATGCATTGCATCTATTGTGGTCACTTGCACCAAGATGGGGGTGGGTTTTGAGATGCTACCTGCTGTGACTGTCTAGCACCTTCAGAGGTGGGGAGGCAAAGCGCAAACCCCACAACTGAATCACGGGAAGACGGTCGTCCTCTGAGCATAGCACTATCTGAGTAGCTATGTCTGGGTGCCAGGCCAGGCCCGAACAATGCATCTGTGAACAAAACAGATCCCAATGGGCGACACTGGGCCAGGGATATAGCTCAGAGGCACAGTGCCTGCCAGGTACACACGAGATTGTGAGTTAGATTCCTAATACAAACAAGAAAAAAAGGGGTCCCAATTGGTGATAGAATCTTACTCTTTTGGTTATGCACTTTTTTTTCCCAGTTGCAATGTGACTACTCTCGGGGCAGTTTTTATGTTGTGCCTGGGAAGACCACAGCCATCACTCTTAATAGGAAATCTTCCAAGAGGCTGAATCCACATATCCCACGGCTGGAAATAGAACCCTGGCCTGGGGCAGAGCAGTTCTAACTGCTCAGCAGAAGGCAGCAGGCAGAGCCCAGCCAGTGCTCTGGCTTGCACTCCTCCCCGTTTTGGTGATCACTGACTTTGATGATAGGCTCCTTTCTCTTGAGATCCCACACAACAGCCACGCCACTGGGGTGAGCAGAAGACAGAATGTGCTGGACTTGCCGGTTCTAAGAGAGTGCCCTGATGTCTCCTGAGGGCTGCAGAGACAGGATGGTAGGAAGGATAACTCGTCACCCCAAGGACCAAGTGGCCTCTGATATTGCACTGCCCTCAACCCTCACAGCAAGCTCAAGAGCACACCTGGGGCTTCCCACACTCAAACAGTCTTAGGGGTGTTGGGCTAGATTCTCCCTGAAGATCCTTTAGAGTCCCAGTGTAGAAGTTGGAGGAAAGGCAGGCATGCTTGGGTTTCACTCCTATCCTAAAGTTCTCTTGAGGAGATACAGTCAATACTTAAAGATAGTCTTGGCTAGGATAAAGGAAGAGAGACAGAAGGAAGAAAGTGAGAGAGGGAAACAGACAGCCAAGGCCCACACATAATGCGAGAGAGAAGGAAAAAATCAAGGCTACTTTCAGTGTATGAAGTAGTATCAAATTTACATCTAATCTACATCACAATGCTATAAGTATAAGAGAGAAAAGCCACAAAAAAGGGGGGGAAGGTCATTAGATTGACAGAAAGGTATTCAGAAGACAGATTAGATCCAGCTGCACAGAAATAACCCAGAGACAACACAGACTCTTCCCGCTCAGAGAGCAGGGGTAAGTTCAAGTATTCCCTGAGCCCAGGGCTAACCAACCCTAAGCAACCTACACTGTGATAGCAGTACTCCCATTCCTCTTTCAGCATCCTTTATTTCCCCTGTCCTTTTTCTTCCTCCCAGAAACTCAGAACATCTAAGGATATTCAAAACTTAGAAATGCTGGAGCTGGTGAGATGGCTCAGTGGTCTAAAGCACCTACTTAGAACAAGCTTAGCAAAGCACAGGGACCGCGGTTTGATCCCCCAGCACCACATGCCAGCCAGCCCCGCCCCCTGGTGGGCTGAGCTGGTCACACACACACACACACACACACACACACACACACACTAAATAAAATTTAAAAAAGAAATGCAAGATGCCCACACTGGGTATGGAAACTGGTAACATTGCCCAGACAGCTGCAGTCACACCCTCTGCTCCATCTGGCCAGCAGCATGTTAGTCTGTGAAGTTTAATTGCCCTCCAGCAGTAAATCCTGAAATCTCTTGTTTGCTGGCTGGCTCCAGAATTTAAGACTGAGCTAGGGATTCCTGCAGTCAGTGAACACTCAGGTTATTCAAATCCCACATAAAGATTTCAGAATCACTGGCACCTGAGGACAGGAGGTTGCCCTGTAGGAATAAAAGGCATTTGGAGACACTATCCCAGAGAGATATGATCAGGAAAGAGGTGAAGAGGCTCACACGTGGGATACCCAAAGCCTCCCCATCAGAGCTTGGTAAGGTTCAGTAGCCACAGGGAATGCTTTCATTCAGACCTGCTGCTCCACTGCCGGCTGTATTTGATCAACTAAAATGTGGTACCTGGAAAGGGCTGATGTCGAGGGCTCTCACAGCCCCTGTGTGCTTCTGTCTCTGTGCAATCACAGGCCCCTTTCCTGAAGACAGGCTGTGAGTCATGCTGTACAGAGTAAGCATGCCGCTATCCCCACCGCCTGCAGTAACTCCAGAGCTTTCCAGGAGGTCAGCTTGTGAACCCTACAAAAAGGGGGAACTGGTGCCATCATAATCTTAGGTCCATGTCAGAAGCAGAAGGTAGGGTCTTTCTCAGACTCTGCCATCAGTAGGTATCCCTCCCCATGTGACCTGCCTGCGCGTCATCTCCCACACAGAAAGGGAGCTCTCCTTGCCCTGGCCCTGTTCATACCTAAATGAAGCGGCGGTAGTGTTACGTGAGAAGTCAGGAAACCACTGCCTCTGACTTGTTTTCAATGCTTTTTTCTAATTTTTGGCTATAGGAGACCTGTGATTACTAGCTCAAATAATTAACTTTCACAACTCAAACAGGTAGTAATAACAACTCACACTTCCTACCAACAGCACCTTTTCTGAGTGCTTTGCATGTATTTGCTGACAACATTTTAACAACTCTCTGAGCTATTACTATTTCCTCCATTGTCATCTAAGGGAACTGTAGCTCAGGGAAGTTGTAAAATTTTTACAAAGCTAGTAATTTCATTCTCATTTGAGAGCTATGAAGTGACACTCAAGGTTCAAAGTCAGCCCTGCCTGACTGAGCTCTCACATCTTAAAATTCCACCTTCCCTTGAGAGGAAGACCCACACTCTCCTGCAATAATAAGCAGCAGCCTCTCTAGACAAACAATGATTGTCCCCTTCTTTCTCAGGCTGGAATGGAGGACAAATAGAATGAGACCTCCCTGCCCCACATCTCTGCCTTGTGGCTGCCGCAGACCAGCCCTAGAGACAGGCGTGGGAGGGCAGATGCCCCCACTGAGAAAACTGGCTTTCTGAGGGTGCATAAAAAAAGAAGACTGACCCTGGCCCCTGCAGAGGGGCAGGTCCTCTGCAAAAGCAGGCATGTGAGCTCCCTGAAGCCTGACAGTGTGCGTCTGTTTCCCACCACAGAGCTGCTGGTCAAAAATATTTCCACAGCCCTTCAGAAGAAGCCAGATTTCACACTGCATGACATCACAAGACCCCTCGATGCAGTGAAATATTCCCACACACTGAAACAGAAAGAACTCGAGCAGATGACCAAGCAGGAAGCATCCAGGCTGAGCCATCCTACTGAGTCTGGGAGCTGAGCAGGCCAGAGGACCAGCAACTGTGGAGAAGGGCAGAGATGACAATGGCAGCCCTGAGGCTATGTGCAAAAGGCAGCTTTCTAAGTATGCATGGATTTTTCACATGGCAGAGGAATGTGTCCACACTGGCTTACTAGGTTGCCATATCATTCACAGTGACGAAGAGGGTAAGGCCATCACAGGTCAATGAAACCAGAGGACATGGCCAGAAACAACACAAGAATGAAGAGGTCAAGCTGATCAAAGCACATGCTACGATCCGTAGACACAACTGAACCCTCAAGGGGAACTGGCAAGCAGGGAGAAATGTGGGAGGTTACATCACTGGGGCTGAGCTGCAGAATGCCGGGCATGACAAAACAGTTTTCCTATATATATGTGTGCAGCAGTATGTTTCTGTTACTCATCACCTCACTCAGTAGGGGAGGCTGGTACCTGCAGAAGCTGTGACCTTAGGGTGCACCTAAGAAGTGGGAGCACTGCATCGAATTAAACAAGGAAGGAGACCTTCTTAGTCACTATTTGCATGGTTGGAACAGAATTCCAAACAGTGCAAACATGAGAAGCACAGGTTTATTTTGGCTCACATTTGAGTCCTCAGTCAGCTGGCTGCAGCGCAGGACAGTGGCAGAGGGGCCTGGAGGACAACGGCTCATCTCAGGGCAGTTAGGAGGGCCAGGGAAGCAGATGGGCCCCCCTAGCCGCACCCTCAGTGACCCGCCTCTTCCAACCAGACCCCCACCTTCTAAAGAACTGCGTCTGGGCTGGTGAGATGGCTCAGTGGTCTAAAGCACCTACTTAGAACAAGCTGAACAAAGCAAAGGGACCACGGTTCAATCCCTCAGCACCACATGCCAGTCAGCCCCACCCCCTGGTGGGCTGAGCTGGCCACACACACACACACACACACAAATAAATAAATAAATAAAAAATAAATAAAAATAAAGAACTGCGTCAGCTACAGTGCCACATAATCCGGTCACCTCCCAAACACATGAGGCTCTGAGAGCATTTTCTTTTTTTTTTTTCCCCATAATTTTATTGATAAACAAATAGCAATGAGACAGTTTCAAATCAAATTGGAAGACAATTTCAATAATTAACACATTGCATACATTCTTCTTAGTGGTTATTTGCTGTACAAGATGCGGACATGATATCCTATTTACAAACACCATTAGAACAAATCACTCTATTCATTAAGAGAATGTAACTATATATCTATCCTAACCACTTTGAATACACAGATACAAAATGGACATTCATCTGTATACCATTTTTGTTAAGTTCCGTTATTTGAATATTATAGGTGTGTAAACTCAGCAAAATATTCTAAAAGAGTCCAATAGCCCATAATAGTATTGGATCTTCCGCTTGACTAGCAATGTCAGAAATTGTTGACCTGAGTCCCCTGCAGCTCAACATAACAGCATGGCTTTACTTCCTATATTTCATTTTTATACTTTTCTGCTGGATGGTTAAGACTAAGGTAAAGCAGGATCTATGCAACAAGAGTTGTAGCTTTTGGGTCTGAGAAGGTCAGTGAAATCCCCTCAGGATTTATCCTGAGATCCTGTACCTCAGATTGTAGATCCTTTGTCAGTGTCAGCCATGTGGATGAGTCACGGCCATCGCTTGGCCAATGTGCTCTCTGTGAAAGCCTGAGAGAGTGTTTTCTCTCCATGTGACTCTCCTTAGGCACACTCTACATCATCGCTCACTTTCCTTTTTGGCCCCATAATCTCCTTGATCAGAAAATTTGGGACACTGCCGAGTTACATGATATTACAGTACAAGTTCTCATATGTCCTGAGTCTTAAGTGACCTTGGAAGGCTAGGGCCAAAATGTTGGCTTTCCTTGTGGCCCTCCTTTTTCTCTAATTCTGGTCTGCAAACTTAGGTTGTTAACCATCCAGAAGACAAGCTTATTGTTATTACCATACAACTTAGGCTGTTAAGCTTAACCTCACTATCTGTCTGCATATCAAACATCTTAGGCATAATATGGAACAGGTATTTTTCATCAAGTATTGATATGTTGAACTTTAAGTCCCTACAGAATATGATAAAAAATTTTTAAATTAGAATATATTTTAAAAATAGGCATAAAGAATTATATACTTATGTTTACACATAAGTCCAAAAATCTCTGAGAGCATTTTCAATCTACAACCCTAACAGACTTATCTCTCAGTGGGCTCAAGAGTAACATCTCTGGGCCTGCAAATGGAGAAAAAATGGGAGACAACCACTGAGGGTACAGAGTGGGGGGGGGGAACGACAAAATGTTGACACATGGTGTCTCTAAGTGGGGGCATATGATTGTTCTTTGTGGTCTTTCATAATCTTTCATAGTTTTCCTTGTGTGTATGTGGAACTGGGGGATGGAATCCAACAGTTTTCTACCACTGAGGTATATCCCCAACCTTTTTTTTTTAATTATTTTTTTAGGTGGCCTGCTCATTACCTCAGGTGTTTAAGTGCCTGCTGAAACAAAGCAGTCAGGCTCAGGAAGCTGTGGTTCGATCCCCTCATCCTCAAGCCAAACCAGACCTGCCCTGAAGGCAACCTGAGCGCCCCCCACCCAAAAAAAAATTACTTTTTATTTTGAAAGAGACTCTTGCTAAGTTGTCCAGACAGGGCCTGAACTTGCATACCTCTTGTCTCAGCCTCTCACAGTGCTGGAATTACAGATGTACATCACTGTACCCAGTTTTTTTTTTTTCTATTATGGCCGTATTTTAACCTTCAAACTTCAATTGAGTAACACATAACTGTGATCCCAGCATGATGGGAGGCTGAGGCAAGAGAATGAAAAATTCAAGTCCATCCTAGGAAATGTAGAGACTCAGCAGGACTTCAACTCAAAAAAGGGATGGACATATGGCTTTGTGCAAAGGCCCTGAGTTTAATCCACACACAGAAGGACTTTATCCTAAAAACAGAGACAGAGAAATTTAAGAAGAATTAAGAGTCTGTCTAAGAGGGTAGAAAGTGTGTGTATGTGTGTTTTTGAGACGGGGACTCACTATATTTCAGGCTAATCTTGCACTACATTGACCAGGCTGAACTTGAACTCACAACAATCCTCCTACCTCAGACTTCCAAGGACTATAGCAAAGGTACCCCTGGAAGGAATTTACTTTAAACATGAGAGTACAGATAGAATTCTTTGCTAGAGGAGTTCCAAGGATAATGATGGCGGTGATGGAGACAATATTGGCACCATGGAATAATGATTATTTGAGGCATGGTTTTGGTGAAAAAGACAAGTAGTAGAAAGGGGATAATTCTGATAAACATCTGTAAATAATGAAGAGACACAGGAAGTGTTAAAAGAGAAACAAAGGAAAGGAGCTGAGACTATGTAGAAAACAGGACACGGGCCTGCCCTGCTGGCTGGGCATGGTGGTGCCTGCCTGTAGTCTCAGCTCTTGGGAGGCTATTAACAGGAGGATCACTACAAGTCCGATCTAGTAGTGAGACCCTGAGTACCCTGTAGACCCTTCCCTAAAAAAAAAAAAAAAAAAAAAAAAGAAAGAAAGAAAGAATGAAAAAGAAAGTAAGAAAGAAAGGACAGACTAAATGTAAGACCTGAATTTGGGTCTCAGCATATTCTTTTAGAAGTCATCTTCTATGACTTTTTCATACATCCAAAAACCTACAACTTATACAAAGTCACAGATCTGTTACAATGGAAAATTTAAAGAGATGAAGACCACTGCAAAATAAGGGAATGCTATCATCAAGCAACACATGGGCTCAAAAACAAGTAAACAATAACCAACCTTTGTTTTTTTGTTGTTGTTGTTGTTTGTTTTTTGGCAGAACCAGGGATTGAACTAAGGCCCTTGCATTAGCCAGGCAAGCGCTCATTCTACTGAGCTATCTCCCCAGCCCCTCCAACCTTTCATTATTAGGTTAAACCATGAAAAGAAAGAAGTGATACTTACATTCTGCTTAAAGATTTAATCTCTTAGAGGGCCTAAGAAAGACACAGGGGGTCTATCCCTCATCCTCTGGAGGGCTGCCTTCTAGGCCAATCTCTAAGGTAAGACAGACAAGATCATTCACTGGATCCTAAGAAAAAGATATATTCAATCTGAAAAATTATATAAAATATAATAAAGGCGAGGCTATTGACGTTTACAAATTTGTACATTTATTTATATTTGCAGATATATTTTCAGGTACTTGGAATTATATAAAATATACTTTATTAATAGTATAGTAATACATGTATATTGTTTATATTGAATATATAATAAATATACTGCATATTCACGTTTTGTCTTGTCTAATGATGTAAATATCTACAGACTATTGCATCAGACTAAGTCCCACCTTTAAAAAAATCTTTAAAAAGGCAGTGGAAAGAAGGAAGCTTTGGACTCAGAATTCCACTTACCACCTATGTACAATGGAAATAGTGACACTTCTCACTTAGGCTTATTTTAAGGAATAAAATGCACAGGGTCCCAAGCATAGTATCAAGCAGACACATGTAACTGTTCACTCAACAAAAGGACCTGGACTATCACGGCTTGCAATACCTACTTCTAGCTTTTTCTGCTAATAAGAAAGAGCATCAACAGCCCTGTCCTCATTGCTGTAATACACCAAAATCCATGTGTACCCAGCGTGCCAGAGCCATGAACTCCATATGCAATCAAGTAATACTTAACAGCAAGGAGAAGGAGATCATGTGTTCTCCTGCTTGTTGGCAGAAAACAGTGATACTATGTAAGGTTGTTAGCTGCAGCTTATATAAAGGGAAGAGCCAATAGAGTCAGGAGGCCACGTCTCTAGGTGAGAACATGCAGGGCCCAGCTTAGGCAAGGTGTCTCTGTCACACACAGTCAGCTTGAGAATGTTGCTACTGCTGCTGACCAGAAAGGTGGAAATGGTTAATTTTTAAGTCCTTTTGCAAAGCAAGATCAAAATTAACTATTTCCTTCTTGTTAGGGTTCCTTTTCTCCTCACCTGCCACCTATATACAACTGTATACACTGTTCTCAGGATTTCTCATCAGGCTCTGCCCTGCATACCCATCGCAGTCCAGACCATACCTGCTTGAGGGAGAAAGGACTCCTTTGTGTTCTAAGTCAAGAGAAGGGTCCCGGAAATCAACCTCAAAGATTTCCAATGTGCCATTTGTGCTAAAGGAGGCATCAAGCTGCTGGGCAGATGTTCCTAGGCACAAGAAAAAGTAAAAAAAAGAAAGTCAAGAAGCAGCATATGGGCAACAATATATGCAGGTATAAATGGGTTAGAAAGTAAAGAGGGAGGGCCAGGGAGATGGCTCAGTGGAATAAGCGCTTCCCTGGCAAGCACAAGGCCCTGAGTTCAATCCCCAGTTCCGCAAAAAAAAAAAAAAAAAAAAAAAGTAAAGAGGGAGAAGAGAATTGAGTTATCCTTCTCTGTTTCTCAAAGGGTAACTCCAAGAGAGGGACTGATGAAGGAGGGGGAGGGAGGGAAAGAAGGGTAGACCCCTAGATTCGAACCCAGTCAGAAGCTGCTCCCAGATACCTAACACTCACTAGTCCCTAGTGCGAACTGGCACCACCTTTCTGTGGTCCAAATGCTTTGATGCTCAATAAAGAATTTTAGCTGCTAATACATCCCTCAACCTACGTCCTTCTAACATCACCACACC